GTTGGCAAGCAAAGCTGAGCTTTGTACTAATACAACGCTTCATACAAGGCTCTGTCAGTCTGTACTTCAAGTCAGTGACTTTTCTGTTCTCTTCAAAAATCTCAGAGACCATCAACCTTTTTCAGTTTGTCGTGGTGGGGGAGTATTACCTGTTCTCTTGGGGCAACTTGTGAACAACTTTGCTGCTGATCCTTACTACATACTTAGAAAGCAAATTCAAAAGACTGCACGCCAGTTCTATTTCAGTTCACATCAATGTGTTTAGGTCTGTTTCTAAATATAAATACTTTCATTAGCCACGCAATCCTCTGTTTAATTGCTTATATGATTTATTCTGTTATTATTTTTTAGAGAAGAGCCTCAAACCAGAATGGGAAGGACATAAGTGGGCAGGACAGAAGTGTGATTCCAGGCAGAACATTACATTTGGTCCCTATTTCTGCAGCCCAAAAAAATAACTCTCCAAAGAGAATTGGAGATGTTCAAATTCCAGAGCCAGAACTAAGCTCCGTGACTCAAGACATGATGCGATCTCTAGGATGAGAGTGAAGGAGAACTCTCTAAAAGACAGAAATGCCTGAGATAACAATGTAAAAATCTGAGGCTGGATACATGCCCATGATCTCTCATGTGTAAACAAACAGTTAAATTTGTGTCAAGGAGCAGCCTGTTCAGTTTTCTGAAGAAGACATGTTTCCCAGAAGGAATTACATAAATATTTATGAAAATGAAGCAGGAAATATTTTCCCAGGGTAGGACACTCTTCAGCACTGCATCAGGTCAGCAGAAGCCAGGGTTTATTTTGTCAGTCTTCCCCTGAAACTGAATCATTGCCCTCTTGTTTGCAAAAATCTGTTCTGACACAGGAAAAGGCTGCACTTAGATAAACACAATTACAAACCACACTGAGTATTTCACTTTCTATCACATCTCTGAATGCATATGTGAATGCCTTACTTTTTTGGACAGCTTCTCCCAGTGATTGCGTGGAACACAACAGCAATAGGTATCTGTCCCAGAGGCCGCTCAGGAAGGCTGGTGCCATATGAGTAAAGTCAAAGGCGTCTCCAGTAGAACTGAAAGCCTGCAGGCTAACTGTCAGAAAAGTATTCTCAATGAGAGTGTTCGCCATAAAAGTGCTTACAACACATTCACCGTGAGCCAGTAAGTTCTCGCAAAGTGCAAAAGTTGGAAATGCAAGAGGTCATGCAGGGCTACCTGAGTGAGCAGGTTACACACAACGGAGGTCTGGTTAAAAACCAGGGTACAGGGTTCAGTATTGCACCTCATAAAGCGCCCGGCAGCTTTCTGAATCTGTGGTCTGCAACACAAGCTCCTTCTGAGATTTTGGTGCTGACCAGCTGTTCTGCATCCTGGGTACCAGTTGTCTTCAAATCCCTCTTGCCTCGCAGCAGACACTTCCCGCTGGAATCTGGGACAGATTTTATGTTTAAGGGCTAAAA